ATGTAAAAGACTGAATGCAGAAGTAGGTATGAGAATCCAAGTATCTGCTATTAAACCAGACATTAATGAGATGTACAAAAATGTAAAACAATGGCATTCTTCTCTTTTCATTAAAATTTCTTTTTTGAGACTATTATAGAGAAATGTGAAACTAGGTCTCTATCGTCATTAAATTTTTTTGTTTTGGAAAATTAAGGTTTCATAAGAATGTAGCTTATATTAGCATGTAATGTGTTTATTATTTTTATTTCATAAATAAATATTTTAAACATTTTTTAGTTTGAATTTCTAATATGTAAATTATCAACATAAAAGTGCTTTGGGGTCCTCAGTAATTTTTAAGTATGTTAAGGACCCTTTGACCAGAAAAAGGTTCATGCTTGCTGTTTTAAAATATGAGCCCCTAGAAATAAAGACCTTATGTGTCTGTAGTTTCATATTCCCCAGACCTGCAGATGTATGTAACTGACTTGTAGAAGTCATTCAATAGCTACTTAGGGGAATGGATTTAATGAGTGAACAAAAGAAGCTGAAATCAACAGAAGTCTGGTGTTCCTGTGCAGGGATTCCGAGTCTGTGTTAAGACTGGTCTTTGCGGATGTCATGTTTTTAGAAAATTATTCTAATTCATCAGAAAGTATAATCTTTATTTTAACTTGGTAGGGAGCTGACAGTTTTTGATATGATTTTGAGAAAGTGATCTTAGAGATTCTGCTCAATCTTCCTTACTGGAAGGTTGGAAGATTTTTTTTTTTTTCATTCTTTATGCTTACTATTTAAAATTTTCAGTTATTGACATAATTTATTTGGATATTTTTAATTGGTATTTATATTTTATCCTATAATACTGAGGATACTTTCTGTCTTCAAAGTTGCTTTTAGCCTTTGTTGCGTTTAGCCTTTTGGTCAAAGTAGGTTTCAATTTTAAAAAGCCAGGCACTTTAAAAAATAGTGTTGTGTTCATTAGAGATTACAAAATAGTCTGCCTTGCTCTTTCCAGTCACCTTCTCTGAATAATGAATACACAGTAGAAGCGGGGAAAATGATTTCCCTAGGCTAACTTTAGATTCATCTGTTTACTATCCCGCAAGGTGCGATTCTTTTTTTAAGATCTGCCCGATCTAGAACATCGGAATCTCAGAAAACTGGGTACTCTTCTAGTAAAACCTGGCCTATTTGGAGAATAACACTTAATGTGCAGGGCAAGGCAAGTAGTAGGTTAATTAGTATTTAGACTCAGAATATGATACTGTATGAGGGAAGGATAGAAGAATTTGGTAATTTAGGTTTCTGCTGGCCAGTTTCTGTCCTTGAGACATAAGTTATAGGAAAATATTCATTTACCCACTCATCTATAGCATAAAAGAACCTGATATGCTCAAATTCATGAGCATTCTTAACTATAGGGTCAAGTCATGTAACACTTTTTTTTTTTTTTAATTTTCTATTTTTTTTATTTTATTTATTTATTTTTAATAGAGGCATGTTTTATTTATTTATATATTTGTTTGTTTGTTTTTTGTTTATACATGCATTGGGTACAGTCAGAAGCGTGGGAGGGTGAGAGAATTCACCAGAGCCAGAGCAGGGAGCAGAGCAGGCAGAAGGACCGAAGTACACTGCTGAGGGGAGCAGCGGGCGGCAGGAGAGGTCTGTGCGCCATGTGGGACCCTCCTCTGGTGGCCGGGGAGCAGCCGGGGATCGAACCGGCGCCGCAGAGGCCGCGGGCAGTTTCGCAACCCAGCGCTCAACCGCTGCGCCACCGGGGAGGCCCTAACACATTTTATTCTGCTGCAGAACACTTGAATGCTTCTGGCATTACCTTTCTTGTTTCTATACAAATAGGACCTGACTTCCTCTTATTTGGGGTGGTATGTGTGCGTTTATAAAATGTTTACATTTGGGTCATTTCTAAATGTACTCACTTTTCTGCATCATAAAGAGTCTTAAAACAACACACTGGTTAATCCCTTGTGTCCATTGTGATCACCTGAAGAATTGCGACAGAACCAAGGAAGACTGGCCTATGTTCCCTCACTAAAAGTTAAATGCAGTGGGGTGTTAGAATCACCTAGAGAACCTGAAAACAAAAAGGAAGGAGAACTTTCCAAAACCCAATATAGGGATTGCAGTCAGATCAGTCATACTGAATTTCAGAGAGCAGGTTCAAACATCAGTAAATTTTAAATACTTTCAATTCTGTGATTTTAAATACGGTGAAGACTCCTCTTGATCTGTTTTAAAAAGCTCCCTGGTCATTTTGATAAAGTGAAAATAAGTTACATAAAACTCCTGAGTAAGTGGGGTTATCTGTGATATTTATAAACAAAATAAGAGCATGTTTTTGTTTTGAAGAACTTTAAAGCTTTCCATGTGTCTGCTTTTAAAGGAGGAACAGGAAGCATGCATCAATAAACAGGATTAATTAAAAATAGATCAGCACTGTTTTATGGACAGAGGCACATAGTTGAGTGAATGGGGAAGAAAATACTAAAGACAGATGAGTGGGGCTGAAACAGGACTTACGTGGTGGAACATTCCCATCTTGTGGCTGGTGAGAATAGTGCTGCTGCAGATTAAATGCTGGATTGTATTCTTGCAACTCGTGCTTTGCTGTTGAGCTTGTGGACTTTAGTGATCTGGGCACAACAACATTTGACTATCAGTAGTATTCCCTTGGTATTGCTGCCTGACTCTGTAGCCCTACACAGAACATTTCCTGCTCTATGCACAAAATTCTGCTTCTATAACCTGGTGATTGGAACTTGAACTGTTGCCACTGCATTCTCTCTGTTCCAACCTTGTATTGTAAGTATGTTTGGAGCAACTAAAGTTAACTTCATTTTTGTGAAGTCATTCGAAGTACCTTGTTGTCAGAAGTTAGGCCTTACCTCCCTGATTTAATTATTCTGTGTCAGATGATCTGTTTCCTCTTCTGTAAAATGGGAAACTAATTTTACTGACTTCATAGAGTGGTTATGAGGGCTAAATGAGTAAGACACTGAGTGGAGCTTGGTATGTCATAAGTGATGGATGAGTGTTTACCATTCATTCTTTCAACCTTTAAGGTACCTTATTGTGCCACTTCTGTGTAACACTGTGTGTAGAGTGTTTGTATGGTGAGTAATACATCCCTTCATTTTTGTGAGAACATTTAAGAGGGAAGACTGAGCAAAACATGGATTCTATCTCATTTATAAATACTGGCAACCTATGGAATGTTTTAATATAGTCAGCAAATCCTTGATTGTTTATTGTCTATGTCAGCTAGTTACTTCTGATCAGGGGTGTCCTTCTGATACTGAAGTGGCTTCTACTTTCAAGTTTGTGATGTAGTTCTGCATTTTTTGAACTAAAGGATTGAGATTTTAGTGTGTTGCAGGAAATGGGAAGGCCGTAAAATGTCAAAATGAAGAATGAATCTGCTTGGTTTCAATAAAAATGGTGTTTTATTTTTTTCTGAGTCATTTCATCAGATTTTATTAAAATTCCGAACCATAAATATTAGAGTTGGAAATTATTTTAGTGATCATCAAGCCGTTCCTGAAGCCTTTTATTTCGGGCAGCTTTAAATGCTACAAGAAAATTTCAATTCCTTGAAATTGAAATCTTTCCTGAAACTATCACCTGTGGTCCTTAGTTTACCTTTCAAAGTAAGGCATGGCTTCTAATGCCTTACTGTGGCCAGGGATATTGTTGTGATAGTTCCTCGCCTGGAGAGAGTGAGACTCCAATGAACTGGTTTTCATCACAGGGCTTCTGCTTTCTCACTTAGAATTACCCTTTTGTTTGTATACGCCTTCATGCCCAGTGTCTTCAGCAGTTAGTTAAACCACCGTGCCCCTCCCATCTCTGAAGTGGGACTATTGATGGTAATTTTTTTTTCTTTGGTCATCATAGAGAACTGAATTATAAGAGTGGTACTCAATAGAACAAGATATTTCTCTTATTAGAGCAGTTGATGCTGTCTGTACAAAGTTACATTTGATCCATTGGCCAGGCATATCAAACTTCTGTGCTTTTGGTTGCATTGCCTCTCAAACCCCTTGCAATTCATTTTAGATTGAAGAGTGTAAGATAGTTTTGAACTGCGTAACTCATTTTTTAAGTATAATATTTGATTTTCTCCCCCCTCCCCCTTTTTTTGGTAAATGTTTATTTGGCCTGGCTTTTTGTGAAGCTGTGTTTGTCCTACTCACCAGTATTCTTTTTTTCATCCATAGGAACCAGGTCTTTCGAATCAGTTCTAGATTTTGTCAAAAGAGCTGTGTTCAGCTCATATGTCTTCTAGCATCTCTCATTTACCTTAATTTTTTTTTTAAAGTTTTATTTATTTACTTATATAAGCACTGGGTACAGTCAGAAGCACGGGAGGGTGAGAGAATTCACCAGAGTCGGAGGGGGTAGCAGAGCAAGCAGACTGACGAAGTACACTGCTGAGGGGAGCAGCGGGTGGCAGGAGAGGTCTGCGCGCCATGTGGGACCCTCACCCGGTGGCCGGGGAGCAGCCAGGGATCGAACCTGTGCTGCAGAGGCTGCGGGCAGCTTCGCAACCCAGTGCTCAACTGCTGCGCCACTGGGGAGGCCCCTAATTGAGATCTTTATCTTTGTGTATTATTGATAATGTTATCATCTGTACCAGGAACTCATCTTCCTTTGTTAGCAGGAGCACGTCCTCTGATAATTTTAGGTTGAGGTGGATATTATTTGATTTGACCAAAAGAACTTGATGCCAGATCTTTGGGGAGCCTTGACCTCCCCAAAGGGGAGGGTGTTTTTGACATGTCTTCAAACTCTAGGAGGTGCAGCTGTGTAGTCAGATGATGTGGGGTTTATTATTAATGTAAAAGTAAAGGAAATGATTTATAAGAAATTTGGTTAGTCCTGTTTTATAATTTTGTGGTTTTAAAAGCCTACTAGTATTGTTTATATTTCTTTGTAATAAAGGAAATAGAAACTGTAAATATGGTCTGTAAGTGCCCTTCTGTACTTTCTTTTAGGTCGTATTAAAGATAATAAAACATTATCAAGAAGAAGGACAAGGAACTGAGGTGGTTCAAGGAGTGCTTTTGGGCCTGGTTGTGGAAGATCGTCTTGAAATTACCAACTGCTTTCCTTTCCCCCAGCATACGGAAGAAGATGCGGACTTTGATGAAGGTAAAGATACTCACCTGTGTGTCTTTGAGGGGTATACAAGAAGTTATTAATGCAATTCTGACCATAACCTTTGGTAGTCTGCTACTGGGAATCTATCAGGTTTCTTAGATTACTTGATTTCTGAGTTTCTTGAAAAAATTGCACAAATTCTCAGGAATGAGGTTTTATATCAAAACTTCACTAGTTTAGACTTAATGGGAATTTGTGATTCGGATTTTAGTAAATTCGCACAGAAGCTGTGTTGATGTTAACATTCTGATGATTAAATCTTCTTGCCAAATGCCTTTATTATGAAGGACAGAAATCATCATTATGTATCCAACATCTATTTTCTTCTGTAGTATTTTGGCTTAACTGTTTAGGAAGAGATGAATTGACCTATTTACTTCTGAAAGAAGATATTCCTTAAGCGTTTTATTTTTGTGTTATAGGTATAAATTGTTTTGTTAATGGAGGCTAATGGCTATTAAAAGCTCATACCAACAGGACAAAGTCAACATTTAAACAGTTAAAAAAAATAGCCTTTTGAAAATAATTTCTTGCTTATCTGTACTCTCAGAGCTCATTTTCTATCTAATTTTTACTATTTATTGTGGTAAAGATCCATAACAAGGTTTATTATTTGATCACTTTTAAACAGACAGTGTAGTAGAGTTGACTGTGTGCGTGTTGTGCAGCAGAGCTCCGCTGAGCAAGTCCTCCCTTTCCCCACCCTTTTCATTTTCCTGGCAACCACCATTTTACTCTCTAAGCATTTGGACTGCTTTAATACCGCATATAAGTCAAATCATGCAGTTAGATCTTTTTGTTGACTGACTTAATGTAACTTAGCTTAATGTCTTCAAGGTTCATTTATATTGTAACACATATACCAATTTACTTTTTTTAATTTTTTATTTAAAATTTTTTTACATCATTGTTCATTTTTAAACAATATTTGCTTCCCCCCATCCCCTCAGGTGTAGTCCCCAAGAGTTTCCTTCACCAATGTACCCATGCACAGTTTACTTTTTTAAAGACCAAATAATATTCCATTCTCTGTATATAAAACATTTTCTTTGTCCAGTCATCTATTGGAGTATATTTAAATTGTTTCCACTTCTTAGTAAAATACTGTGAATAACGCTGCAAAGATCTTTTCAGAAGATCCTGTTTTCAGTTCTCTTGGATATATATTCGTAAGTGGGATGGTAGGATTATATGATATATATAAAAATATATAATATATATAATTTTTTGTGTTACTTTTTTTTTTTTTTAAAGATTTATTTTATTTATTTATACAAGCACTGGGTACAGTCTGAAGCGCGGGAGGGTGAGAGAATTCACCAGAGCCAGAGCAGGGAGCAGAGCAGGCAGAGTGACGAAGTACACTGCTGAGGGGAGCAGCGGGCGGCAGGAGAGGTCTGCGCACCATATGGGACCCTTGCCTGGTGTCTGGGGACGAGGCTGCGGGCAGCTTCACATCCCAGCGCTCAACCGCTGCACCACCCGGTGGGGGGGGGGGGCAATATATATAATTTTTTGAAGAACGTCCTTACTGTTTTTCATAGTGACTTCTGTACTGTTTTTCATAGTGACTGACCAGTTTTTTGTTTTTATTTTTTAAAGATTTATTTATTTATTTGTACAAGCACTGGGTACATTCAGAAGCGCAGGAGGGTGAGAGAATTCACCAGAGCCAGAGCAGGGAGCAGAACAGGCAGAAGGACTGAAGTACACTGCTGAGGGGAGCAGCGGGCGGCAAGAGAGGTCTGCGCGCCATGTGGGACCCTCGCCTGGTGGCCGGGGATTGAACTGGCGTTGGAGAGGCTGCGGGCAGCTTCGCAACCCAGTGCTCAACCGCTGCGCCACCGGGGAGGCCTATGACTGACCAGTTTACATACAATGTACTAAGGGTTCTAATGTCTTCATATCTTACCAACATCTATTATTTTCTGGATTTTTTTAATAGTGGTCCTCTAATAGGTGTAAAGTGATAGCACATTGTGGCTTGATTTTCATTCCCTTAGTAATTATACTCAACATTAACCTCTTATCATATATAGGGTTTATAAATGCTTTCTCCTTAGTTTAAAAATAAATATTTATTTTTGTGTAGAAGAAGTGGGGTGTAGGCCAGAGGTGCAGGGGTTGAGAGGATTCACCAGAGACAGAATGGGGAGCAGAACAGGTGGATTTACTGAAATACACTGCTAAGAGGTGTAGAGGGCAAGACAAGAGACATCTGCTGCTCCATATGTGGGTCAGCTCCTTGGCTGGGGGATTGAACTCAGTTTATCGTGGTTATAGTGCTGAGACTTAAGTCCTAGGCCACCAGGGAGACCCTGTAAATATTTTCTCCTTTTGATTGTTTCCTTTGCTGTGCAGAAGGTTCTGTAATCTGTTTGCCTGTTTTTATTTTTACTGTCTGTGCTTTTTATGTGCTATGTTTTGAAGCTGGTTCTCTATATTTTCTTCTAGGAATTTTAAGCCAGTACCATTTTAGGTTCACTACTGTTGTTTTGTAATATGTTTTGAAATCAAGAAGTATGGCAGCTCCACTTCTTTTTCTGTCCTCAAGGTTATTGAGGACAGACTATTTAGGTCCCTTGAGATTCTATATGAATTTTAGGATTTATTTTTTTTTCATTTTCTGCGTAAAATGCCGTTCGGTTTTCTATAGATCTCTTTGGATATTATGGACATTTTAACGATTTTTAAGTCTTCCAATCCATGAACGTGGTATTATTTTTCCACTTATTTGTATATTATTTTGCTTTTTTTATTCCATTATTTGTAAGTATTCTTTTGAATATCTTGAACGATTTCATTCACCAATCATTTTTTTTCATTAAAGTTATATCTTCAGAAACTAACCAGAGCTATTTTATTCTAAGTACTTGAGTGTTTGCATTTTTTAAAACTAGTGTGCAGTAGGCATTCTTTTTTTTTTTAAACCAGCCAGAATCTTCCTTTTTCATCTGAACTGCTGTAATGTTTATATCTTAGACAGAAATACATTTGACTTTTCTTTGTAGCTCATTCTTTCAATATTAGCATATTTTTATTCACCAGTATACCTGGAGATCCTTAATTACATTTCACTAGTAACTCTTATAGAGCCAGAAGACAAGGGATTGTTAACATAATTTCTTTGACTAACCAGTGAGGAGCCTGAGAGGTTTAGTGACTTTCTCAGTTACTGAGTCAGTGGGACAGAATAGAATAGAATAGAATAGAATCTATTCCAAAAGAGTTTTTATTATCAAACTATTTTCTCAGGGAATTAATTTAGAATTTGAGCAAGAAATAATGTTCATTGCAATTATGGTGGACGAACAGAGCAAAATGTATTACTAATTTTAGTTCTTAGTCATAGAAACGAGTTTATCTTACAGGCTTAAGGTATTTGAACAATGTGCTGTCTCACTAACCTGTACTTTAAGCAGCTCATGCTTTAACAACATGAGAAAACATTTAACAAACTCTGAGATAAGGAAGAGACTTCAATTTAGTATTACACAGTAAAAAAGTACTGGACATTGTGTGCTGTGTACTGTATGTACCTTGCCTATCAGCAGTTACTATTTTGCACAGCTGAAGGTTTTTTATCAGTATCATTTTTCCAGATTAGGAAACTGATGCTCAGTAAGATAAATATCTTGTCCAAATGTGTTTAGCTAGGAATGGGTAAAGCAGAGCTTTACCAAATCTGTGAGTGCCTAGTTGCAAATAACATTTTAGAAATTTTCTCACTATGTGGAATTGCTATTAGATAGTGAAATAAAGATTAAGAGTGTCATGTGTAGGGCATCATTATTTTGTATTTGAAGTATGTTTTAGGGGTAAAAACTAAGTTCATTTTTCTTAGTTTACTTTTTTCTTTCTAAATTATGTTTATTGAGGAGTAAAGTAGCTTTACATTTTGTGTCTGCTCTAGGATTGAAAAACTAGTAGGATTTGCCATTTTTCTTACACATGTGAGAAAAATTAAGACAGTCCCCTATATTTATTTATGATCTCATTTCAGTATTGAATTTTAGCTTCTCTCATATCATCCATTTGTTCAATGGGTATTAGTTTGTAGTCACCATTCAGATTTTATTAAACACAGATTACTACTAAACTTTCCTGTTGTATGGGTATATCTTAGAATAGTCTTGTCTGGGTCATTTTAAGTCATGGTCAAGTCCCACTGTTTTGCTTACTGATTTTCTGTGATTTTATGCTAAAACTATTTTTACTTTGGGAAGGATATTCTGCCATCCACATTAGGAAAGTAAAATACTCCTCAAATATTCCATACTTTTAATGATTTTGAGTAGCCTGTAGTTTTTTTTTGTTGTTGTTGTTGTTTTGGTGCTTTGTGTAAAGTAGAAATTTCTTATCTGCAGTCCAAGAAGTGGTATGTTTTAAATCAGGGATTGACAAACTATGATCTGTGAACCTCCTTTAGTACGTAAAATTTTTTTAGAATACTTCTATGCTGATTCCTGTATGCATTTTCTGTGGCTGTGTTCCTGTTATGATGGCATAATTGAGTAGTTGTGACTGAGACTATATGGGCACCAAGCTTGAAGTATACTATATGTGACCTTTTAAGAAGGCTTGACCACTCCCTTTTATATATAACTGTTTCTTGTTTTCCATCATAAGATTGAAGAATAAGGTGACAGTTCTATCTTTTCATTATAAATTGATGACATTTTGCTGTTAATTTCTTCTTGATGTTCCCCTTAACATTGACTCAACCCAGAATGTACTGTGGACACTAATGAAAATGCTAGTGGCGCTGTGTTGATTTTATTGGTGCACCTAGAAACTAGCTTTTGTTTTAATTGCGTGTTTCCTTTTAAAAAAATAAAAACCCACATGTTGAATCATTGGAGGAATTGTAATAATAGAAAAGAAAGATACTCAACTCATGGTTGCAGACATGACTGGCCAGCTATTGTGGAAAGGCATTTGAGACCAAAACACTCCAGTGGGAAACTCAGTTCTATACATAGGATCCATGT